TGTAGTAGTCGTAGTAGTAGTAGTAGCAACAGCACAACTAGTAGTAGTAGTAGTAGTAGTAGTAGTAGTAGTAGTAGTAGTAGTGGTGGCAGTAGTAGTAGTAGTAATAGTAGTAGTAGTAGCAGTCGTAGTAGTTGTAGTCGTAGCTATAGTAGTAGTAGTAGTAGTAGTAGTAGCAGTAGCAGTAGCAGTAGTAGTCGTAGTAATACTAGTTATTGCTGTAGTAGTGGAAGTAGTAGTAGTAGTACTAGTACTAGTAGTAGTAGTAGTAGTAGTCGTAGTAGTAGTAGTAGTAGTAGTAGTAGTCATACTGGTAGTAATAGTTGTTGCTGTTGCTGTAGTTGGAGTAGAGTCGTAGTAATAGCCGTAGTAGTAGTAGTAGTAGTAGTAGTAGTAGTAGTAGTAGTAGTAGTAGTAGTAGTAGTAGTATAGCGGGGCAGAGCGGCTCCTGGTTGCATGCCGTTGTTGGTGGCCCATTCGATCCCCAAGGGGGACATTCGGCCCCCTTGGGGGGGGCTTCGCCCTGGGGGATTGCCGGGGTTGATGGTGATCAGGCTTCCTGAGGTTTCTTCAGGATTCCCATGGATGCCTTAGGATATCTGTTGGTTTCTTGTGGATCCCCGGGGATTCCAAAGGATTCCTAGGGATTCCTTTGGAGTCCTAGGGATCCCAATGGATTCCGAAGGATTCATATGGACTCCTATGTAGCGATTCGTATGGGTTCCTTCCTAAGGATTCCTAGCGATTCCAAGGGATTCTTACGTATTCCGGTGGATTCCGATGGATCCTTTGGAATTCCGATGGGTCCCTTATAATGCCTATGGATTTCGTGGGATCCCTAACGGTTCCTATGGGTGTCTATGGATTCCTAGGGGCTTTGACGGATTCTTATGGGTTTTGGGGGATGCGTTAGATTTCCGAAGGATGCCCAGGGATTCCCAAGGATTCATTATTTCGGAGTCCTATGGATTCTTAAAGCTTCCTAAAGATCCCGAAGGATCCCCTAGGAGCCCTTAGGATTCTTGAGGACCCCAAAGGATTTCTCTGGATTCTTTTGGGGGTCCTAAAGGATGCCTAAGGATGCCAAGGGATTCCTGAGGATTCCTTGGAAGCCCCAGTGAGTCCTAAAGATTCTGGCGGATTCCGATGGATTCCTAGCAATTCCTGGACAAGCACGTGCGCTGAAAAGGGGGGGTCCTTCCTGTGATTTCGAAAAGGAGTCCGTTCTGCGAGGTATGCGGGTATCCCCCGCGCGGGGGCATGCAGCGCAACGCAAAGAAGACAGGGAGAGTGAAAACGCGACTCAAGAGCAGGAGGGGGTGGGAAGGAGGAGAAGGCGGAGGAGGAGGAGGAGGAGGAGGAGGAGGAAGAGGAGGAGTTGGTGGTGGCGTATCAACACACGAAAACAACCAACATCAACAACAATCAATAACCACAACCAACGAAAAACAACAACCAATAAGTAACAATACCACCGAATCACAATAACATACGGCAACCAACAACGGCAACCAACAGCAAAACCCAACAACGAACAACAAACCAAACAAGAAACTAATAACAACACCGACAACCAGAACAACAGCAACCAATAACAACGACAACACTACAAACAAACCAACAAACACAATACCAACAGCAAGACCAGCAAGCACACACACAACCAAACAAACAAACAAACAAACAAACAAACACACATAACATAAGCCGACAACATCAACCAACAGCAATAAACACACGAACATAAACAACTTTGCCTGGCGAGGGACCCAACCACATTCAGCCGTAGGTACCGCGATCGCGTGTATAATCTTCGGTGGGGCTTCTTATGGGGAGGCGCGAAATGTGTGAGTGTGTTTCCCTCTGTGGGCCACGAGGCGGCACCTGGGTGGAGTTCCCTGTGGGGCCGCGAAACGCTGTCCTGGGTGGGGGAGACGCATGCGAACACTGCCACGGGGGCCTTAAGTGGAACTCCCTGTGGGGCCACGAAACGCTGTCCTGGGTGGGGAAAACGCATGCGAACACCGCCATTGGGGCCGTAGGTGGAGCTCCCTGTGGGGCCACGGCACGGTGTCCTGGGTGGGGGAGGCGAATGTGAACACCGCCACATGGGCCTTAGGCGGAGCTCCCTGTGGGGCCACGAAACGCTGTCCTGGGTGGGGGAAACGCATGCGAACACAGCCATTGGGACTTTAGGTGGAGCTCCCTGTGGGGCCACGACACGGTGTCCTGGGTGGGGGAGACGAATGTGAACACCGCCACAGGGGCCGTAGGTGGAACTCCTTGTGGGGCCACGAAACGTTGTCTTGGGCGGGGGGGACGCATGCGAACACCGCCACTGGGATCTCAGGTGGAGTTCCCCTGTGGGGCCACGAAACGCTGTTCTGTGTAGGGGAGACGCATGTGAATACCGCTACTGGGGCCTTAGGTGGAGCTCCTTGTGGCCGGGGGCGGCAAAGAGGGGGGTGATGACTAGGGGGTGTGGATATCATGGCGGGGGCCATGATAGTTCCCCAGATGTCATGGCGCCTCTTCTGATTTCATTACGTATCTGGCCCTCCCGCTGGGCCGCGCACGTGCCGCCAAATCCCGTATGTTTCTGGACCCTGACCCCGCCGATCTGCGTGACAGGTGCCACCGAATTTCAGAAATGTTGCAAATCCCATGTGGTTTTGGATCCTGACCCCGCCGATCTGCGTGAGGGGTGACACTGAATTTCAGAAATGTGGGAACGTCAATGTGTTGTTGCACCCTGGCCCCGCCGATCTGCGTGAGGGGTGACACTGAATTTCAAACATGTGGGAACTTCAATTTGTTTTTGGACCCTGGCCCGCCGATCTGCGTGAGGGGTGCTACCGAATTTCAGAAATGTGGCAAATCCTTGCTGTTTTTGCACCCTGACCTCGCCGATCTGCGTGAGGGGTGCCACCGCATTTCAGACACGTGGCAAATCCCATGTGTTGTTGCACCTTGGCCCCGCCGATCTGCGTGAGGGGTGCTACCGAATTTCAGAAATGTGGCACATCCTTCCTGTTTTTGCACCCTGACCCCGCCGATCTGCGTGAGGGGTGCCACCGAATTTCAGAAATGTGGGGAATCCAACATGTGTTGTTGCACCCTGACCCCGCCGATCTGGGTGAGGGGTGCCACCGCATTTTGGAAATGTGGCAAATCCCATGTGTTTTGCACCCTGACCCCGCCGATCTGCGTGAGGGGTGTCAATTTTTACCCACCCCAGCAATTCAGACAACACGCTCAGGGCGTGCTAAACCTGCCCGTTTGGGCCTCCCCCCCTCGCGCGGTCCATCAACAAGGAACAGTAAGCAGCAAGAAGCAGAATTGTAACAGTGGAAGCTGGAAGCTGCAACTGGTACAGGAAACTGCGAATCTTCGGTCTACAGCCTGGTGGCCCCACAAGGGGGCTGGCGGACTTGCGCAAACCATTATCTGCACGAGTGAAAACCTCCCATGACTGCTTCCCTGCCAGATGCAAGAGGGTAGCAAGGCGATTCGAAGGATACGTCCACAACTTCCCCTCATAGGATGTAGCAACTCCACCAGGGAAGAGGCAGGAGACTTATCATAGGCCTGCGGATCGGGTAGTCCTATGGCCGACGTTTGTAACCAAACGGACGCCAGACGCCCAAGTTCGGGCACCGTGGCCACTTGGTCAGGGTCGGGGAAATCATCCCAAGGTGGGGGGCAAGGTGCACATCCAACGGGCCTCTGAACTGGTACAAGCGGGGGACGACGGAATACAGAGACCATGTAAGAATGCACATTCCCACGTAGGGTCAGGGCAACAGGTTGGTGCTTGGGAATAAGGGAAGTCTCCCATACCTGGCACGAAGCTGCTCCTGCTAAACCTGGATGGACAACGAAGTAGTCTATCAACGATTGGGCACCTGCCGATTCGTAACTGTGGGATTTTGGCGCCACAGTGACACCATTCAATAGCGATAGTCATCATGTGAATTGTAATTCGCTAGGAGACGTATTCCAATCAGCAGAGATAACGACTGGCGTGCCAATGGTCTTCATAACAGCAGCTACTTGCAAGAGGAGTTGGGTGTTCTTATCTTCAGCCATATCGCCTGTGTGTAGGTGGGGGTTTCTTGGGGCCCCCTGGGCGCTTCTTGGATTCTTGGACCGGAAGGCTCGGATTTTGGGTTCGTGTTCCCCCTCTTTGGCCCCTCTTGGGGCCGTCTTGGGGCCTCTTCGGCCGTCTTAGGCGCTTTTTGGGCCGTGTGGGAACCTTTTTGGGCCGTTTTGGGGCCATTCGGGGGGCCTTAGGGGCCGTCTAGGTACGCTCTTGGGGGCCGCTCGGGACGTCTTGGAGAATCGGAAACCTGAAACACGCAGGACCACCAAACATTGAAAAACCGTGGGGGGGTAATGATTTTGGCCTCTCGGGGCTCTGTTGGGAAGGTTTGCGGAGGCCTCTTGGGGCGTTTTTGTTTTTGTTCGGCCGTCTTGCGGCCATCCTGGGCGTCTTGGAGCAACCGTTCCTCGAGTCGGGGCCCTCGTGGGCCATCCTGGAGGCCCGTCTTGGAGCCGTTTTAGGGCCGTCTGGGAGCCGAAAGAGTCGTGCGAGAACACGCCCCAGAGTCCGGGGGGCACGCGGCGAGCCCCAGAAGATTTGTGGTTTGGGGGGATGCAGGCCCTGAGCAGCAATCAGGATTGAGGACCGAGGCCCACAGGTTGAGCGAGGGACCTGGGGACAATCCACTTCGTGCTGCAGGGTCACGCTGGGGGATATGAGAAAGACGAGAGACAAAGAGAGAGAGAGAGAGATGCTTGCACTTGCACAGATACGCTTGTACCTGTGAGAGAGAGAGAGAGATAACAAGAGAGAGAGAGAGAAAACAAAACAACAAGCAATAACACAACAACTATATACATCTGAAGCAAAGCACAGTATAGACAGACAGGCAGCCCGACAGGCAGAGGCGCAGAGGTGCGGTCTCCGGAGGGAGGTCTGGCCAGCCGCACTCGCACAGGGCACGATGTGCTTGATAGCCCTGCACAAGACCAGCGACCTCCAAGACCTCGTCGCCCGCCTGGAGTCCTTGGAGGCCGGCTCGGTCGCGGGCCCTCTCGCTCTTCCACCTCCTCGACCCCGCCCTCGGCCCTTCTCGCTTTCTGCTTCCCCTGCCTCACCTTCCTCCCTCGCCCCCTCCCTAGCCTTCCCCCCTCGCCTCGTCTGCATCCCCCCCACCCACTTCCCCCCTCCCCCCCGTGCCCTCCCTCCCCCTCCGCCTGGGGCAGCCGAGCGGCTCCCAGCCTCCCAGACCATGAGTGGACAGGGGGCCCTGGGCAGTGAGGTCAGGTCCTGCGTCGCTCAACCTGCGCGCGGCCACTTGTGCGTGTGGGGGGGGGGGGGGGGGGGGCGGCGCATCACTCGCACACTTGCAGCTCATGTTTCCACGGGAGGAGTGGCAGAGAGGAGCGAGGGAGCAGGCAGAGAACTGGAAGGCGGAGGAGACGGACTCGCGGCCCAGGGAGTTGGCCACCCACCCCCCTTTTGGTTGCGCGTTCACGCGCCCGCCAGCGGCAGGCAGAAGGGGAGGAAGGTGCGAGGGGGGCGGGGGAGCAGAGAAGCAGCGAAGCCACGGCGAGACAGCTTGTAATATTGCGCTGACAACGACGAGGAGGACGAGGGACAGGGAGGAGGAGGAGGAGGAGGAGGAGGAGGAGGAGGAGGAGGAGGAGGAGGAGGAGGAGGAGGATGAGGAGGAGAGGAGGAGAATCCAAAGATTAGGGGCAAGGGCAACTAGTCCCAAGGGCCCTCGGGCCAAACCAGGGGCCCGGCAGCACTACAAGGCAAACTGCACGTGCACCGCGCAGCCAGCTAACAACCTTGCATGCTCTGACCAGCTCGGCGGGCTGCTGGTCAGCAGGCACCGTGTTCACCTCCTCCTGAAGCCAGTGAATCGCAGGACCATTCCGCCAAGGCGACCTGGGGTCTCCACCACGAAGGGCGAGTGAGGCAGTCCTCGAAAGAGGTCTGCGAACACTCATGCAACCTTCATCTTTCAATGCCCCCCCCAATGATCAAAGTTAGCAGTGTGTTGAATCAGTTGCACTTCGAACGCAATCTTCCCCGCGCGTGCCGACTTTGAGAATTTGGGGGAGAGGAGGAGTGTCCACGAATTACTTCCCTCTATCGGATGGTCTCCCAGGTACCTGGCGTGCGTCTGGCGCTCTGCCTTGCGGGCGGCCTCACCTGCGCGGCGCGCTGCCAGGCGACTTCTGGAACTTCCCGGCCTCCCGAACTTGCTTGCCGTGCCTGGCCAGCGGGCCCAGAGCGGCCAGGAGGGTGGCCAAACAGCCCCGCGAGAGGCTCGAGCGGTTCCAGACACCCACCACACGCCCGAAGATGGCCCCCAGAACAATCCCAAGAGGGCCTCCACAAACGCAAAAAGACGTGGATATCCGCATCATGTTGTCCCAGCAGCTTGAGTGGGGTTCTGGTTGTCATAGAAGACCTTCTTCTTCTTCCTCGTCTTTCCTCCTCTCAAGCTCCTCCTCCTCCTCCTCCTCCTCCTCCTCCTCCTCCTCTTCCTCTTCCTCCTACTCTTCCTCCTCCTTCTCCTCCTCCTCATGCAAGGTCCATACCCCCTCATACAAGCTCCACACCCCCTTTCTCTTGCAAGCTTCTCCTCATCATTATCCTGTTCCTCCTCAACCTCCTCCTCATGCACGCTCCGCCGTAGCCATTTTGGCTCAAGCCGGGTTTGGCGCCCGCGCCGCGCATCCTTCCCGCCGTTCACGGTGCGCCCTGGGCTCGGCGTTGGCGGGCGACGTCGTCAGCAGCTTCGCGAGGAGCGCGGGAATGGCCAGGTTGAGCCAGCTGGTCGACTTGCTGGCCAAAGTCGTCGGCAGGGCGCTGGCGCGCTGCTGCGCGCCCCCTCACCGAGGGAGGCGGCAAACGTTCAAGCCGACCGTCTCCTGCTACGAGGTGCCAGATCTGTGCGAACTCCCGACTGATGACAAGAGGCACCTGTGGTGGTCGCCAGAAGACTTCGAGTCCTTCCTCAGCGAGCAGGTGGAGATTGCCAAGGCCTACTCGGAAGCGGTCGAGCGTGGCGAGGAGGCGCTGTTCGGGTCCAACCCCGTGCTCGCCAACAACTCCCGGCGGGGCCTCGGCCTCGGCCGCGGCACCTCGCGGGCGACCAACTCGCAGGCGCACTTCACCGCGGTCATCGAGGAGCAGGACCGGCAGCGACGCCTGGGAGTCGTGGACTGCGAGGCCCTGGCCCGCGCGGCGGCGGAGGCCAGCCGGGCCGAGGTGCAGCACTCCCTGGAGAGCGCGGCGAGAGACGCGGAGGACACCCGGGCGTACATGGCAGAGGCCACGTGCGTGCTGGAGGACCTGGACGAGGAGGCGGAGGACTGCTCGGTTTGAGTCGGGCCTGCCCCTCTACAAGGGGAAGATTCAAGAATTGCCCCCCCAAAAATGCATGGGGACGATGTTCTGACTATCTTCAGGCATGTTCAGCATACTTCGGGGGTACTTTTTTATTTTTCGTCCAGAATCCGCCTGTAAGGTGACATGCCCGACCTAACGCTTTGTTCGCCTTAAATGTGTCCAGGGCGGCTTTTTAGCGTTTTCAGCCCGGCGTCCTGGAAATAGTTTTTGGTGCGCTTTCAGGTCCCAACCAAAAGAACGAAAAGCGCTGAAAGCATGATGCGTTGTTTCAGCGCTTTTAGACAGGTGTTTTAGCGTTTTCAGCCTGAAGACGCAAAACAAACACATGGAAACGCTAACAAAAACGCAGCGCGTTTGATATATTATCGCATTTCCAGCTCGTCAAGAGCCCAAAACAGAAAACGCTAGAAAAACGTCGAGGGCGTTTTTAAGGCGAACCAAGGAGGACTACCCGGCGGCACTCGTCGAGAACCTCCCAGCGCCGGGGGCTCTGCCGACGGCGTCGGGCGAGCGGCGGCCGGAGGCCTCCGAGGGCCTCTCCGACGTGGAGGACGACTACTGCGACTCCTTCGGGGAGGCTTTCCCCGCCCTCCTGTGCCCGCACAAGATGGACTCGATGGTCGGCGACGGCTTGCTGAGACCTGTCGCGCCGCAGCAGACGGTGACGGTCGCCACGGCGCCGCCGCGCCCCCTGCGTCGCAGGGCGCCGGCCACGGTCACGGTCCTGTCGGTCACGGAGAAGGCCGATTCCTTCTTCACGTTCCCTGCCGACGAGGACAGCAATAAGCCCAGGGCCTATGAGCCGAAGTCCACTGGCGGGTCCCCCTGCGGCCGCACCTGGAGCAGGGAGACCGCCCGCGGCTTCGGTCTGCCACCCGGGCGGCTGCTGGAGGCCGGCTTCCTGGCCTCTGGCCGGCAGAGGAGCGCGGGCCCGTGGACGCCGCAGCCACGGCGGCTCTCGCCGCCGCCCGTGAGGCGGGTCTTGACCACGTGACGCGGAGGCGGGCGCCAGGGGGGCACCGCCAAGGCAGAGTTGCGCGCCGCCGCCGGGCCCCGGGCCCGCGGGCGCTCCGACCTCCACGCCCTGGCAGACGCGTGACGCGGAGGCGGGCGTCAGGGGGACACGGTTAATTACGCGCCGCCGCCGGGCCCCGGGCCCGCGGGCGCTCCGACTTTCGCCGCGGGGCCACTCGCCGCCGCAGCGCCGCACAGACCCCCCCTCGCCGTCCTCGCCGTCTCGTGGGCTCATCCTGCCCGCCGCCAGCGATCCTCCTCATGCACGCTCCCACCAGGCACCAGGCTTCTTGCCTCGTCCACCCCTCCAGTCTCCAACAGCCTCACAGGTGGCGCAGATTCTACCTCCACGGAGGCTGTGTTTGATTGCGCGGGCTATGCGAAGCACGTGTCATTAATCAGGGATCGAGCCCCCAAGCCTCCACCAGCCGTACCAGCAGGACATATTCTACCTCCACGGAGGCCGTGTTTGACTGCGCGTTGTTCGAACCACGTGCTATGCATCAGGGATCGTGCCCTCTCCCCTTCACAAGCTTCACTGGTAGCATAGAGTCTACCTCCAGGGAGGCCGAGTCGGACTGTGCGGGCTATGCGGGACAAGTGTTAGTTAACAGGGATCGTGCCCTGAAGCCGCCACCAGCCTCAAAAGTAGCACAGATTCTACCTCCGGGGAGGCCGTGTCGGACTGTGCGGGCGGGCTGTGCGAAACACGTGTTATCGAAGACGCCTACGGCGAATCACCGCCGCCCCCTGCCACTTTGGAAGCGCCTCTGTGGCCGACAGTTGGGCCAGAGCTTGGCCAAGCTATCGGGCCAGTTGTTCCCCGAGTCGGTTTGGAAAGACTTCGGGGAACGCATGGGATAGCAAAAAGCGGAGGAGGGGGAGGATGAAGAAAATAGAGGAGGAGGAGGAGGAGGAGGAGGAGGAGGAGGAGGAGGAGGAGGAGGAGGCGTCTTGGGCGCCTCTTGGGGCACTCTTGGGGCCTCTTGGGAGCTTCCTGGGGGTCTCTTGGAAGGTTTTTGGTGGCCTTTGGGGGCTTCTTGGGGCCTCTTTCGCCGTCTTAGGGCGTTCCTGGCTTGTCTGACGCCGTCGGAAGCCGTCTTGGGGGCCTGTGTGGGTCGTCTTGGGGCCCTCTTGGGGCCGATCAGGGGTTCTCAGAGGCTATCTTGGGCGTCTTGAAGGCCTCTTGGGCCGTTTTGGTGCCCTCTTGGGGCCGCCTTGGGAGCCTTTTGGGCCGTCATGGGGCCATCTTGGAGGCCTCTTGGGCGATCTTGGGGGCCTCTTGCGCCGTCTTGAGCCGTCGGAATGCCGAGAAGAAACAACTACCAAAATCATTCAAACACCTTGGGAATTGGAGTGCTTGCACGGTATTGACTGGGGTGCTCCATGGCCTTTTGATTTTTCTCAAGTGCATGAGCGGGGGCCAGGCCATGGCCCCGGGCGCCACCACGACCCTGGCAGTGGGCGCCGAGGTGGGCGCGCCCGCGGCCTAGTCGGGGTTGCGGCTGGCGGGCGGCTGGCTGGCGGCAGTGGTGGCGGCCTCCACCACCTGCCCTGTCTGCGTGTGCCAGGCACCCGCGTGGCCGCCCTCGCCGTCGCCCCCGCCGCCGCTGCCCGCCGGGCTTAGTGCGGCGAGCGTCGCGGCGGCGGTGGCCGAGGAGCTGAGGCCGCTGCTGGCCAACAGTTCCCCTCAGGCGCCGCCGACCTGCCCCTCGGCGGAGGCGGTGGCCGCGGCGCTGCTGGAGAGGGCCCCGGTGGCTGCGGGGGCCGAGGGCCCAACTGGCGCGGCGGAGACGCCCGTGGCCGGCCCAGCCTTGGAGTCCGCGGTCGCGCTGGTTTTCGCTTGGCTGGTGGCATGGACTGAACTCTTCGTGCTGATCAGCTGCTGTATCGTGGCTCGCTGTCGGCGCCATGCTCGCAGTGGCTCAGAGGAGGCGCCGCGGAACGGGCGTGATCTGGCCCGACGGATCGAGCGCCGCGGTGGAGGAGTGGCGCGCTGAGCTCCGACCTGGCCTCCAAGGGGGGCTGTGGTATCCGCGAGATACGGTGTGGCATGAGAGAGAGGCTGCTTCTGTATCCCGCGGGAGGCGCCTACTGGTGGGTGCTCACACCAGACATGGATTCCTACGTCGAGGACGTTGCGGCGGCGGTGGGACATGGCTGCAGCAGGGCCTTCGCGTGCAGCCCGAGCGGAGTCGCGCCAGCCGTGGCGCATGGGAGTTTCTACAGGTACTTCGTGCGCACGGCCCAGTTCCGCCCCCTCGTCCTTCGAGCGCGCACCGCTCAGGCCGAGCATGGCCCGGTGGAGGGCCCCGAGCAGTACTACACCTGGGAGGGCGAGCTGACGGTTTTCTCGGAGCTCCGCCGCCGCCCCCCCCTCCGAGTCGCGAGTGAGGGGGCGGGCGGGACGGCGACGCCGCCTGGTGCCGAGGGTGCCCCGCCAGCCCTGGACCCGCCTGAGGGGCGCGCCTTGGTTGTGGCCTCCCCTGGGGCGCTGCCTGTGGGACGCGAAGTGGCCCCTGCCGAAGGCAGCGTGCGGTTCGACGCCTACCACGCCGCCTTCCGCGATGGCGAGAGCTGGCAAGTCGCGGAGGCGGTCCCCGCGGAGGAGGTCGACTGCTACCGTCGGCGGCGACCCAGGGTGCTCATGAACCTGCTGGAGGACCTGAGCGGCGGCCGCCGCGTGGCGCTGGAGGGGGGCCCCGAGTCCGCCGTGGTGCCCACTGCTGCCGGGGCCCCCGACCTGGAGGCAGGCGACAGGGATCTGCGGGACAGGCTTGGGGTGCCGGCACCGACGGGGCGCCCGACGCCGAGGTCGCCGATGACGCGAGGACGCTGTGGGCACAGCATGACGAGCGCGGGGGGCGCCACAAGTCCTGGCGCGAGGTCGCCCGCGAAGTGACGCGGCACACCTTCCGCGACTGGCCCCTGGAGGACGGCCTCTCCACCGTGGAGCGCATGATCAAGAAGTGGGAGAAGAGCGGTGGCAACCCCCTGCTGTGGCTGGAAATGAGGGCGCGGGATCCGCACGTCAGCTCGTCGGACCGCGCCTACATCGAGATGAAGTGCTTGCTCTCGGCGATCAACTGCGCTGGGAGTCACGACCAGCTCAACTTGGCCAGCATGGCGAGCGTCGAGGCGTTGCGCCGCAGGGCGACGCAGATCGTGGAGGCCTACTCGGGCGACCCCACTAAGCCACCGAAGTGCTGCGGCACTACATGGGCGTGACAGGCCCGCTGGGCGTCATCGACCCTGCTCTCAGGTCGGCCGACTTCCGCCGGAACAAGGGGGAGATGGAGCTGGCGAGCTGGAAGAGCCGCGCCGCCGGCGCGTCGGCGCCGGGCCCCCCTGGCGTTGGAGGCAGGGGGGGGGCCCCCAAGTGGCCCTTCGGGCACAGCTGACGGGCGCGGGCGCGGCCGCGGACGAGGTCGCGGAGATGAATGAGGCGGCGGCGGGCGTGGGGCGGCCAGGCGCGGCGGCAAGCTCACCGCGCCCGAGGCGACATGACCGCCCCCGCCGGCGGGGGTGGGCGCCCCGCCGGTAGTGCACACAGCCCACACGTGAAGTCGGGGTGGATTTGATCTCGCTCTTCCCCCTGGCGAGGCTGGATGACCGCGGGGAGAACTGGCCGCGGCTCCAGAGCCGCGGGGCTGCTCGGCTCGCCAGGCGGGCCCGCCGTGACTTCAATGAGGTTGTCGATGCCTTGGATTGGTTGGTGAGCCGAGCTACCACAGGCGCCGGGCCGAATTTTGACCAGATGAGGGTGCGCGCGCGGATCCTCGAGCGCGTGGGCGACAGCCTGCCGCCTCTGGAGACCGCGATCCCCTCCCCGCGGGCGGCCTTCTCAGAGCTGATGCGCGGCCGCGGTGTCTATGACGAGTCGGCTGGGCGGAGCGTCGGACGTCTTCGCGATGTGGGGCAGATATCCTTACCTAAGACCGCGGTGGGAGGGCCGCGGCTGTTGGGCCTCGCACGTGCCCATGCGCGCCGTTTTCTCGAAGGCGGTTTCTCTCGGGTATACTTCTAGATGAGGTTAGTTTGCGTCGTCGATTTGCCGGGTGTAACGTCGCCCCCCGCTGGGGCCCATCGCTGGCTCGCAACCGCATGCTGGTGTTTTTGGGCGTGGCCGAGCGTCGCGAAGAGGTCGGGGTTTTCTTCGCGGCCAAGAAGTCTAACCAGCTTCGTCTCATCATAGACGCCCGACGGAGCAACCTCCACTTCGCATCTCCCCCTGGCGCGTCGCCGGTGACGGCCGAGGGCCTCGCGCGCATCGAGGCGGAGAGCGATGGCACCCGCGACGGCGCGGACCTCGGCTTCACGCTGGGGACCTCCGACATCAGCGACGCCTTCCACCGTTTCTGGATCGACCGAGGCCTCTCTGGCTACTTCTGCATGCGGTGCGCGCCGGCGCAGGAGGTCGGCCTTGTGGGCGCCGCCATCGGAGGCCTCGCGGCGGCGCCCGACCGCCGGCCGGCGCCCGCGCGCGCCGCCCTGCCGATGGGTTTCATTTGGTCGCTCCACTACTGCAAGGATGTGGGAGAGGCTGCGATGGGCGCCGCCCCCGAGCTGGAGCGGGCCCCCCGGGCCCACCGCGCGAGCGACCGAGGCCCTGCGACAGCGCCGCGCCCGCCGGCCCCGCTGGCTGAGGGAGGAGGCGCTCAGTGCACCTACGTGGACAGCCTCGGAATGCTGGGTTTCGACAACGGGGACGCCCCAGCAGTCTTGCCGCCACCGCGGCGAGGTTCGACGCCGCGGGCCTGCAGACGCGCGAGACGGAGATTCAGGAGGGCCGCGGCGAGACGTTGGGGCGCGCGCTGGATGGGAGGTCCGATGCGATCGCACCTCAGAGCGAGCGGGGGGGGTGATAGAAGCTCCAGGGAGATGGCAGCGGAGATCTTCTCCGGGTCCCGCTGGGCAGAGATTGTCGCCCGCGGGTGGCATGACACGTCAGAGGGCATTCTTGTCCATGAGTCACGGGCCCTCCTGAGGGCGATGGAGATGCCGCGCAGTCTGTCGCCGCGGGAAGGGGGGGCATGTCGTCGCCATAAGCGATGACCTGCCTGCAGTGCTTTGTTTCTAGAGGGGGATAGCGAGAAACTTCGTGGTTCTCTCCTGCATCAGGCGGGCCGTCGCCCTGGGGCTCTGCTTTGACAAGCGCCTCCATGTGAGATGGGGTCCGAGTGAGCTCAACCCGAGCGATGAGGGCTCTAGGCTGTATGACCCGAGCTACGACCCCAGCAAGATTCTGGTGAACTCTTGGGAGGCCTCCAAAGATGATGACAAGACCCCCGTGAATCATAGACTACCACAACATGT